CAAACAGCTGCATATATCACAGCACGCAGCCCAGCATCAGGACTCCATGGAAAGACCCCATATGAAATACTGTTTAAAAGGAGAGTTGATCCAACTTTGTTTCGCCCTTTCGGATGCCAAGCATATGCCTTGATTCTGAAAGACAAAAGGCAAGGGAAGTTTTACTCCAAGGGGCGCAAAGCCATAATGATTGGCTACACACATGGAAAGCAAGCCTACAAACTCCTAGACACTGAAAAATGGATTGTGTTTTCCAGTCGGCATGTCATATTCAATGAATCCGGAAAGGTACAAAAGGATGACACTGCTCCCTGGAACACAGACACTAGCACAGATCAGTGGGAGGGACTCATTCCAGAGAATGCTCACTATCCAGACCAAAAAAGATTGGAGGAGGATGATCCTGACCCTCGGATCCGAGATCCAAATGAATTACAAATGGAACCACATCTCCAAGGAGATGTTCCAAGAGCAGTGGGGCAATACCTCTGTGGAGATATTCCGAGAGCAGTGGGAGCACCTGATCAGCTAAGACACCCTCCACAACAGTCTCTACAACCAAGACCTGAACACTGGCCATCTTCAGAATGGAAAGCCAAAGTAGAGTTACAGTCAGTGGGAGGACAGCCCCTCAACATACAGCCAGCTTATGTGGAAAAAGTCCGAATACAGCTAGACAGCCTGTCCATTGGATCAGCTTCTGGAAGGTATACAACACCTCCAAGGAGTCATCCAATACCTCCAAGGAGTGATTCAACACCTTCAGGAGTGAGTGGGGCAACAAATACACAAATGCTGCTACTCCCTGGAGTACCTGCACAAGTTCCTAAAAGAGCAGTCATGCCTGCTAAAGTCCTAGGAGTACGCAGAAGCAGTCGCCAGACCCGTCCTGCAGACAAAAACCGAGATTATCAAAGGACTCTAGATGAGGAACAGTCTCAAAAAGAGCAGCATGATAACTCCATGGAGAAACCTAACACTCCTGAGGTTCATGAAGAAACATCTGATACATAGGAGACATGCTTTGCTGGAATAGCAAGTACCGGTCCATCTAACACAGACCTTCCAAGGACACTAAAGGAAGCCTTATCACGTCCGGATGGAGAATTATGGAAGTCTGCCTTGGAGGAGGAACTCCTAAGTCTCAATTCTAATGCAGTATATGACACTGTACGTTGTTGGAATACTAAGCAGGCATAGCTCAGCTCCAAGGAGCCATCACTGGGAAGCTGCAAAATGTGTCCTCCGATATCTGAAAGCAACCAGGGACATGGAACTACGATATGATGGCACAGATGTCTCCATGGACATGGATTTCTATGGATATTCAGATGCAGATTGGTCTGGAGACCCAGACACGTCTCGATCAACATCAGGGTTTGTCTTTATCACCATCCAAGGAGCAATTTCCTGGACAAGCAAAAGACAAAGCATGGTAGCTTTATCCTCCACGGAGTCAGAGTATATTGGATTGAGCAATGCTGGACAACACCTTGCATGGCTTCGGACATTTTTTGAAGAAATTGGACATGCTCAAAATGGACCTACAACATTGCACTGTGACAATCAAGCAGCTATCATTCTTACACGAGATCCACAGTTCCGTGCTCGCACAAAACACATTCAACAGAAATATCATTTTATCCGAGATGACTTAGTATCAAAGGGAGAGGCAGTAATCAGATATGTTCCTACAGGAGATATGGTTGCAGACATTCTCACTAAACCCCTCACTCATGAAAAACACTGGAAATTCTCTAAAGCTATGGGACTACGGTTGCACTCGAGTGGGAGTGACAAAACTGGATAAACCCGGTCTCTGCCAAAGCAGCCATTGTTCTCCATGGAGCATAGCCACCACTCCATGGAGTAACCATTGTTCTCCTAGGAGTCATTATACTGTATCGAGTAGCACCTCCGACTATAAGTAGTAGGGGGTTTAGTATAGGAATACCTCAGTTGTTTCTATAGCCTCTCGGGCAGCGGCTGAGTTTCACTTAGTTTTATTAGACTGCTGAGCAATATCTCACACTGAATCTGTTCTGCAAAAGCAGTTGTGCCAGGAGCTTTGAGTCAACCGTTTGGAGGTGTGAACATTATTTTTATGGGGGATTTTGGTCAATTGAAACCTGTGCGCAACAAAGCTCTCTTCAGCTATAGCTTATTCAGTCAACTTTTGCCCAATACCACTCAAACTGACTTGGGTCAAAATGCACTTTACGGAGCCTTTCTCTGGAGATAAGTCAGTAAGGTGGTCGAACTTATGAAAAACTGGTTTGCTCACACCAACCCTGCATTTCTTAATTTACTCCAACAAGTTCATTCAGGCCTGTCAGAACCGTGGCCTTTTTGGAGTAACGGAGCTGCGGAGTACAAGGACAAAGTAACAGAGTACAGAGGACAAGATGGGGAATTGGCTTAGCTCGTGCGCTAGACCCTTCCATGGACCTTGGTCCCTTACTCATTGGAAGTGGACGGAGGAGAAGTAGAGGATAAAAGGGAGCAGAGTAAAGATCCTCTGGAGAAGGATCAGAAAAGGACTGGTAAGAAAGCGAGGGAATTTAGTTAATATTCAAACTGCAGGAACAGAGTACAGGAGTTACAGCTTATATACTATTGGGGGAGCAGGAGCTTGTAAGGAGTTACTTGTAATATAGGTACGGAGTTCCATGTGGACAGTTATCTAGCAAGAGGAGAATGTATGTGCAAGGAGTGTATTATAAGGTCTAACTACAGACTCCACGAGGAATACTAGAACATGCAAGGAGAAATGTATGGCGGACTAGAAGTTCAGTGCAGGAGTATCAGAGCAGACAACCAGAACACCATGTGGAAATGGAGTGTAGAGTTATGCCAACCGGCAGACCACAAGGAACATAATCCCAAGTATACCAATGGTTCAGTGGTTTTGGGCTCAGAGTTCTGACTTCTGGTATGGATATAACAAGGCCAGACTGTAAGGACCATTTATTATTTTATTATCTTCTTGTTCCATGTCTTGGTTCTTAAACACTTTTCTTGTTACATCTCTGGCTTTAGGGCTAGAGGTATCTTTTGCTATCTTGCTTCTCATAGCCCTCACAGGCTTTTTTATCCATTGTTACCACTTCGTATCGCAGATCAGAGACTGGGTATCACTCCCAGCCAGCCAGCACAATGGGTAAGGGCCAGTGGTAGAGATCTCGCCAACTAGCTCCAAGCCTCATCAGTGCCTGGAGATATTAAAAAATGCTTTAGTCAGGATTATACCTCACCATAAGGATATGGTTCCTAAACACGCGTCACAATACTTATTATTAGTACATTCTCTCACCTGCTGATAAATCTTTAAAAATTGTACAATAGTTATTCTTTTTCTCATTGGTCAATTTCTTCCTCAGACCACTTTTTTTTTATTCCTCTTTCGGTCTGAGGGATAGACAGTTAGCTATATAAGCCCTACACATCCATGTACAGTTCTTTAGCTTTCTATTACTTGAAATATCTGCTTTACTTCTCACTAGAAACCTTTGAGTTTATTCCCAAGTCCTTTACCTGCTATATTTGCTAGCATCTGTTGACCTCAAGCTCATTGTACCTCTTACTCCTTGCAAGTGCAGTTGGAGATGGGTATTGTTTTTGTTATAGTTTACCATTGCCTCACACAGACATGGGATGGCTTTTGGGCAATGACAGACTTTCAAGTTGGTAATGGGGTAAACTATAACATTTCTGATCATGATGTGTTGTCTGACCGTACCCTGCCCTTTCTGTTAGCCAATGATCCCTCAACTCTTGAGAACTTCAGAGATGCACGTATTTATACAACTACAGACTATTTGTACATGTGTACTATACAGTTCATGAAGGCAGTGGCTGATGATGTCATATGGCACAGCCCGTGTGACCAGCTGTACTGTGTGAGAGACTTGTAGCTAAGAATAAAGAAAAGCAGCGCAGCGCAAGAAAGTGGAGTTTGAACAAAATGGAAAGTGCCGCATAGCACAGTGTGTGAAAACCACGAACGAAAGTTAAAGTGGAGAATGAAATTTAAAGGTCCAAAAATTGTGTATCATAACACTACCCCCCTTCTAAGGCTTAATTTCCAGGCAAGACTAAGTACCAGAGGTAGTAGTTAAATTTTTGGGCATAGGTTGAAAAAGGGTTTTAAAAAGGGTTGAATCCATGCCTCTAAGCTTCATAGGAGCCAAGGGATTCTTGGAATAAATTTCTCAAACAGCACGGCAGGAATTGTCCAGATGGGCTTCTGATTCCCATGTTCTGTTCTTGTCTCTATAGTCCTTCCATTGTTACAATTGACATACCAGCACCTAATTACGCTTCACTTTTGTACTTCTACTTTTATTTTCCATGTCACATGACCAGTCATGTGACCATTTACTTTACTTTTCATTTTCGGACCTTTCCTTTAAATTTCATTCTCCGCTTTAACCTTGTACTGTAGTTTTCACACTGTGCCATGTGGCACTTCCCCTTGTAGTCCAAACTCCACCTTTCTCGCGCGGTGCTGCCTTTATTCTTATTTTAGATACAAGTATCTCACGCAGTGGAGCTGGTCACACGGGCTAGGCCCCATGACATCAGCAGCCACTGCCTCTAGCAACTGTACAGTACATATGTACAAAAAAACCTGTATTAGTATATAAACCCCAATAAATCTTGGGGAAGGACTCAGCAAGTCCTCCTGTTGTCTAGCACAACTAACTCACTGCAGCCTAAGGGGTAACCACTCCCCATCATCTTCTTTATAGTGTGTTCCTGTGTGCGCCAGAGTAAATAACTCTTGGTTGTTACATCCATAGGACTAGAAACTCTTAATTTTCCACGCTTCAAGTGTGCATCCACCACCTGTTCAACTTCAAATTCTTCTTCACGTTCCTGGGTGACTACAACCAGTCCAGGCCGGTCTACGTGCTGTCCCAGCAGCGGACCTTTGTAGGGTTTCACATGGCTAATATTGACCGTGGGTACTACCATCATTTGTTTTGGGAGTTCCAGCTCTACCGCATTGGGTTTGCTTCCTTAATCTGGTAAGGACCAATCCACTTGTTGGTCAGTTTTCTAGAATGCCAATCTTTTAATTTTAAGTGGTCGGTATCTAACCAGATGAGATTGCCAACCTTGTAGTCAGAAGCTATGGAGTGTCTACACTCTGCCCTGTCTTTCATCTGCTCTGCAGTTTTGAATAGCACCTTGTGCGTTTCATCTAAGACAGATTTTATGTCCTTTACCATGCTCTTAGCAGCCCCATTCTTGCTTTTGCCAGGTTCTACACCCATTCTGGGGAGGTATAATCTTGTAACCTCAAATGGTGCTTTCCCTGTAGCCAACGACTGTTTGATATTGTACGAGAACTGGGCTATCTTTAGCCACTTGGCCCAATCCGCATCAGGAGAAACACTTTGGCTATATAGGCTCTTATAGTACTATAGTTGCAAAAATAGATGTCATAGTGATCATAGTTGTAATAGAAACCCCAGCATCTATTCAGGAATAATGTGCTCTTATAGTACTCTCATAGTTGACTATAGTTCCAAGAGACCCATATAGTAACATCAATATTATGACAGCATTTGCTATAAACATAGCACTTACAGCATTTACAGCACCCATAGCATCCATAGCATCCATAGCACCCATAGCACCCATAGTGCTCATCTAATACATTGATACTATAGTAGCATTTAGGGTAGATATTACACTCAATGCACTTGTTACACTCAGAGCAGCTATAGCATGCATTGCACTCAACAACCAAATAATGCAATAAAAACAACACAATAATATTTTTTACTTCTAGCAACAATAAAATGTAGGATACATAGATAGAAAACAAGAAATACCATCCAGCAGCATGCTTAACAATAGTGACAGTGCCTTCTAGGGCTTCAAAATCAATACCAAAATCTTCATCTTTTATATGATCATCATCAATCCCTAGATAGTGAAGATTTGCCAGATTTCTATTTTGATAAATCAGTAGCTGTAAAAGCTAAGGCATTAATGCTTACAAAATGTCCTGGTACAAGCCTTCTATCATTTTCTTCATCCAGATAGGACTTTTCCTTTGAAGAACTGACAACTTTATGAAGTAGTATTCCCACATAACCAATATTCAAAACAAGTCAACGTAAATATGTAACAACTTACCTGGTTTTGAAAAAATTCTCTGAGAACTCAAGTGTGGCCTTGTTGCCATTCATGTATGCTCTGAGTGAACATTCAATCTGAAAGCTTAATAAGATAAACACCTGGATAAAGAAGGCCAGAACTTACAGCTGTGGTGATAATTGCAAGTAGGGCTAAAGGGATGCCTTTGAAATGTTCAGGGTAGCGCACAATCTTGAAGATCTGATAAGAAAAAGGTTTCTGCTTGTTAAATGTTCTAGCCTTAAAAATGGTTAGAATTGATGTCAATATAGGAGAACAATAGCTCACCTTGATGTCAAGATCACCATCAGCAAATGCACCAGTCTTTCAAAGCCATATTACAACTTCCTTGATCTGAGCTGGCGCCATATCACCAGAAATATGGTAAGCACCATTGATCATAAGACGAGCTTTGGCTACAATTTCTCCCTGGACCTGGGCAACAGCAGACCAAACCTAGTAAAAAGAGTCATTGATTAATATGATATTATTAGAGGTTGTGACACATATATAGTCAATTAACATGTTTTGGATTTCTTCATTGCTGTTAACCTCTAGAAGCTTGGCTTGTAAATCTTTTCGGCCTTTTGAAGCATTGATAAGCCTTTTGGAAGAAAATTTGGAGCAGCAGGTAGGTGGAGGAAATCCTTCTTGTGTCACAACGTACAATCTCATGACAGCATGCCCAGCAGTAGCAAGATCCAGAAGATGACTGGGAAACATATCAAGGGTGATCCTATGCTTTTTCCCCATCTTTGGCAGTAAAAAAAGAGCTGCAGGTGTAGAAATAGAGGTAGAGTTAGAAGACATCCTGGACAAAGGTGTAGAAGATTTTCTGGACAAACTAGTCCTCTCCTGTATAACAACAGGCCTAGACTTGGGCTACTATATAGGCTGTTAGCTTTATGAATATAAGAAGTATTCAGAAACGTACTTGATCATCCAGAATGAGTCCATCAACATCTTAGCAGCATGTAAATATTTTCCTCTAGGAATGATTATATATCTTACTATCAGGTCTAGCACCCTCACCCTCATCATAATGATTGCTGCTTTCATCCACCTATGTGTGGCTTTTGAATTAGAACCCCTTGAAAATCTTCTTCATCAGATGCATTATCAATGGCTTGTTTTTTTATAGGAGGGTTTGATGGTGTAACTGTGTCAATGTCATTAAGATCCTGTTCTTCTTCTTTTTCCATATAACTAGCTGCTCTCTTTCTCATTACTGAGGGAGATGAGTGTATTCTTTATAAATCCAGAATACATGTCTTACCTATGCATTTGGCTTCCAATGCCTCTTTCTGAGCTGCCTGGGTAGATTGTACCTTGGCATCCATAGTCATGAGGTGCTAGTACTCCTCAGCACTTAAAGTAACTGCATTGTTTTGCCCCTTGGAGGCATAAGCTTTAGATTTACCCTGCCATCAAAGTTGACCAGCCTGTGAGAAAGTAAACAGAGAATCAAGTATAACAGGGAAGTGAAAATTTACCCACAGAGTTTAGGGCAGGCATTCTGGTCAGAATATGAATAACTCCTGACAATACCTCTGAGAATTGCTGAAAAACGCATACAGGAGTAGTATAGTAGTACCATAGACAGTGTATTTATGCAAAGGTCCTCATGGCTTCATTTTCCTGCCAGCCATTTCTATCAGCAGCCCATGAAACAAATTCATAATCAGTATGAAGTACTATGGATATTTGTTTACCTTCATAATGAAGGTTGAGATAAGTGAAATCAGACAACCTGAAAATTACAAAGTCCCCATGATTCAGCTCAATGACAAGGCCTGTCTCAACCATCACAAGAGCTGCCCCCCTGAATGTTCTAATGGGAAGAACCAGGCAAAACTCCTGGTCCTTGCTGTCACAGTGAGCCTTTGTCTGTACGTTGATATTGATGACCAGTGAGAGGAAGGGGGAGGCTGGGAAGTTGTGGTTTCCTGGTAAGATGGACACAATTTGCTCAAGCATCTGGCACTCTTCAGGCAGGTGGGTTTGCATCTAATACATTGATGAGATACCTGTGAGAAAATATTGAGAACCACTTACAATACCATGTATGTATCCAGTTAAACAGCTCTTTAAAGATGACCTTGAGGGACTGAAACATTTTCTGGTTGTCTTTGACATCCTTGAAGATGCATGGGATTATCTGCCTGTGGTTGGTACATACACAGCCAACTCTGTCAAGCATAGAAGAAGGGATATCAGATGGAGCTTTATGACCCTGTGGAGTGTCAGCAATAGGGAACATATTATAAATAAACAACTCCACCTTGGTACAGTGGTGGTTGTAGCATGACAAGTGAAGTGCTTGAAAGGTAGAGTCAGCACTGAGGCAGGTGTTCTTCTCTGTCAATAGATCTGGGGTCCCAAACACAGCTAGTAGGTTGTCTGTAAGAGAATTTTGTATTTTTCTGGAAGACTTGTGCAGATGAATGCCATTAGTGTCTCATCAGAGTTACAGATATCCACAAGGGAGCTTCAGACAAGTGAGAAATCAGCCATTGGAGATTTGTGAAAGATGTACTTGGGAATAGCATCCATATGTATTATAGCATACTGAAGATGAATTACATACCTGTGATTGCAAATTATCTATGTCATTAACTCTGTTGCCCTTCTCAGCACACTCTTGTTCACACTCTGTCCAGACATTGTTGGCTTGACAATCATGCTGTGAAAAGTGCTCGGAAATGTTTATTTTGAGGCAGTAATTGGTCATAGGCAGTGCATATGACTATCTTCTCCTTTTTGGCGCTTTTTTGCTGAACAGTCAGATGTTCATCTTCACTGTCCCTTTCTGAAGGTTCCAGATAGTCTTGTGAATCTGATAGAGGAGGGCTGTAAGGTCTAGGGAGAAAAAATGCCATTGGCGCAAGGAGCTCATAGCCAAGCTGATGGAGCAGGATATGGGGGTTAAGGCTGGCATTAACAGTTGTATCGTAAAATGACACCCAATGTTGAGCATTCTGATTGTGTAGTGTAAAATTGCTGTGTATGAAAAAAATCAGGCAATAATGGAATGCAAGAATGAATGAGTGACTTACTTAAAAATCACCAATTAAAAAAGTCTGTTGGAGGATGCAATATCAGTGCAATCAAACTCCTGATCAACTTGGTGTTCTCAAAGTGTTGATGGGGAGAACATTGAGGCCATACTGATTACTGCTTACTGCCAATTGGATGCCAGTCTTGAAAAGTTTGTTTGCTGGGCTTTGTTGGGAGATGGGCGACTTCTGCATTGTAGATACCGTTGAGAGACTGTCAGGTATGGAGTTCAATGCTAGAGAAAGTATAGCGTACTAGATCAAATTCATCAGATGCTAACAGATATCAAAATGACTCACCTCTGACATTTTATCACCAGCTGCATGTAGTTTATCATCAACAGGAAGTTGACAACGCAAATGTCCTTCCCATTTGTCTATGCCACTAGGATAGATCATATTTTGACTTGCCACCCAGGTGGAAAGCTCCTGTTGAGGGATAGGATTGTGAGCTCGCTCACCTTGACCCATAGAGGATGTTGAAGACGTTAAAAACATTGAAGATCCATAGGCAACCAGTGCAGACAAATTTAAGCGGAAATTGATGAGGTTTGGTGGTAAGTTTTGGCTGTTGTTGAGCAAATGAAGTAGAAGCTCCAAGTTGTGAGTATGCATGTCAAGAACACGGACCAATACCAATACCTTGGTGTTGGATACAGATAATCTCATTTCTTGATAGTTGGCAGTACGTCCTAGCATAGCAGGTGCTTGAGTGCACCAGCACCTGCTATTCTGGGACATACTGCCAAAACCCCACTATGGATGCCAATTGTCCTGCCAACATGCAAATATGGGATGTGCTCGAGTGCCTGCACACTTCCCTGTTACAGATATACTGCTGCAATTTGTGACAGGTAAGTCCTGAAAAAGTAATATCAGATTTTTCAAGTTATTCTAAGTGCAATACGGAACTCCCTCTGGAGATGGAAAAGGAAGATAGAGAAGGGATAGCGGACTACCAGGTGCGTCTTTCCTTCACCTTGCTGCTGGATATACAATAGCTTCATGCCAAAGATGTCTACTACGTCCACATTTATCACTGCCATATCTCCAATCAAAGTATTTTTGGTTAAAGATGATATCCTTCAAGCGACCCTCCCTTATCAGATCAAAATGTTAACCATTGGCCAGTGAGTCCACTTTTTGCAATAAAAACTCTAACTAATTGTTGTCTTGTAGAGGAGTTCATCATTGACTAGGACATCTAGTAGTTGACTTCACTGGAACTGTCACTAGGTCAGCTGTGAGAGCATCTGATATTTGAGAGGTGCAGGCTGACAACTGATATGTGAACAAGTGAATAAGGATATGCATCATATATAAAGCTCCTTCACTGAAAAGTTCTTCATCAGTAGCTTCAAAGATATACTGTATATCTGATGTATCAACAAGCCTCACATCGCTTGCGTTGATTCCAGCTTTATCCATTGCAGTATGAATTTCTGCTATGTAGTGAAGCATGAGGGTATAGATAGGTCTTACCATATATGTAGTGACATGTTGAGTATCATCACTGAAAGGACCCATGGAGAACAAACTTGAACTCAGGGAGGTTGGATTTGAAGGTGACTTTTGGCTAGTATAGCATGATAAACCTGGGAACATTTTATAGTAGTGGGCTGGAATAGTTCTTGCGGCAGCTAGATCAATATTTCAACAGTTCAAAAAGATGATACTCACCAGAAAAGTGGGAGGATTCTGATACAAGAAGTGTCCAATAATACAAGCAGGACTTTTTTTGAGCTCTGGGACTAGAGTACACATCAGTCTGAACTGGGAATAAGTAGTCCTTGATATGAATGATTGGAGCAGAGATATCAGTGTAAAGGTAGAGGTTGAATCAGTTCACCAGTGAATTGGAGTCCAACTTGAAATGGTCCTCTGGGCTCCAACTTGGACGTTAAATGATTTTCCAGCAAATTTCTTTGTGCTAATTTTTCGAAGTGATTGTTTGCAGGGTGTGCTTATACCGGTTTGGCTGTCAAAATAATGGAGACAATTCTCCAGCGCCATTAATACAATTGCGAGTCCAAGCTAGACATTGGCAATCATTCAGCAACTTGAATCCAGAGTCTGCAACACTGTGTTTTCTCCAAATTGTGTGATCTACCCAGGCTAGTAGCACAGAACACATGCACTAGTGTGTTCATTGATTGCTGCTATCAGAGTGATATTGTTCATCACAGTCACAGTAGTAAACCCAATGTTGTGATGTCTAAGTTCTGGCCTCACTACTACTACTACAGATCTTCTTGCATTTTGAGTCTTTCTCTAGGTCAACAGTTACACCCAAGGTTGTGGATCATGGTAACATGGGATGTCATTGTGTTTATCTGTGAGAATCACCTCATTCCAACTTGATGGTATGTAACATCCAAGTCCTCGACTATAGGCTAATCTCTCTGTATTATGGACAGATTCCACTTTTTATTGTTTGAATATACATCTACTAGTAAAGGTTGTTATATACTGATTAATAAATATATTCTATCCTATCCCTTTAGCTTTGAGCAGGGACACTGTGTTTTATACCCTTCAGCTATCACCATCATCTTCCTTCCTGGCCCAACACGCCAAACCTCAAGGGTAAGGACAGGCCCCTCAGACTTGCAAACTGTGCGTGATTTCTTTTACAAGATATCTATCATGACCTGAAAACAGGGTTCAGCAGACCACACAATAGCAAAAAGATCAAAATTACCTTCTCTCAGTAAGCATTGATACTTGCCTATCTTGCTCCTTCTTCTCCTGATGAAATTGCCTTAATGCTTTTGCGCTTGCTTCAAAGATCTCTAATATGGACCAGACTGGTATCCCTGTAAAGACATGCAATCCACTGGGTGATACTATTGTGATATCATTGAGCATATCCCAACCTCCCCTGTGCAAAAATCTCTTCAACTCCTGCATATGCCCACGAGTCCTAGTGATGTTGAGAGTCATGAGAATGTTGCCAACACATGGATATTCTAGAATCGGGTACGTCTCAACATCCAAAGCATCTAACAGCTCAATGAGACATTTGTCATCTGTAATCAATGGTCATGTTGAGGGTGTCGAGTGTCTCTGGTGAGTCCTTCTCCTGCTTTCTCCCCATTTTGTGGAGACCACCTGTCTTCTATACTCTGGCATCTTGTTTTAGACTCACTGTGAAGATATTACCAGGCATTGAGCATGGTGAGTCTAGCTTGTGTGTTAATGCGCTGGGCCTTGTGCTCACTTTTATTTTTCTTGAAGGATCGGCAAACTTAGTGAATGTGGAGTATCAGAATAAAAGACAAGCTGAATGAGGTGGGCATGGATGGCAACCTACAGTCGTTTTAGGTGTGAGGTTCTATTTGTAGTTCACAACATGCCAGTTATTTTGCTGGAATTGTAAGTCTTTGATAATTTTTTTGTGTCGCTAATTTGTTATCAGTTTTAGCTCTACGAGAGGTTTTCTGGTACGGCCGGTAGTAACAGCACTTCTCATTTTTGGTTGGGGCGGTTGAGTGTGGACGGCAACAGAGATTATGTTGTTAGAATATACTCTGACATACCAATACTCCATAGGATAATACCTCTGATTTGTAAGCCAGCCCAGTATGCAGCAGCTATTCTGTGTAAGACGTCCGTGGTTGCATGTCATGTTTAAGATCCTACATTGTATAACCTTGGCCATATAGCTCAATTGGTAGAGCAGCTGGCATGTATCCAGAAGGTTCCAGGTTCAATCCCTGGTCTGGTTATTATCCAATTTTATCATATGTATGGTAATTGGTGTTGGACTGCTTGTTACCTACAGTAAGGTAGGTCAAGCATGGACCTAATATTAATAGTACTGGGCGCCAATCAAGGTTAACTTGAAATGTTTGCCATTGCCGCCATGGATGAGATAAAAAGAGAAGCTCTCAATGTCTCTTCCCCTTCGTCTTTTGCCCTTCTCTCCTGTTTGTCATGGCCTCGGTTGTTTCAACCCCTCTCCCCTCTCCTGAGGATGAACATTGTATAGACGACAAAATGCGGACCAATACAGCCATCAAAGCTGGAACAAAGCAAAGGATTTTAGCCCTCAAAGAAGAAATCCAGGCCTTGAAATCTGGCGTCTTGAAGACTAAAAGGTGAGTGATTGGACTTACAGTTGGCTAATACATGCTATTGATAGAAACAAATGTCAGTATCAACTCTTGGGTCAACCAAGGTTGTGGGATCTGGTGTCTGGTATCACTGTTGGATTCTATCAGCGACATGGTAGCGGAACACAATTGGCAAATTTATGAGCAAGGTGACGAAGAGGATTTAGTGCAACCTCAAGATTATAGTGAAAAGTAAGTGTTTGTATCTTGTTTACAGAAGCAGCATAAAATTTAAAAAATAGTGAGAATCATACATTTAGAGGGTTTAAGGAACTTGTATATTATATTTCTGCCCTCAAGAAAAAACTGAATGAAGATTTTGCAAGTAATAAGGAACTAGCTTCCATCTATAAGCAAGTACATTTATGCCCTGCCTTCTCTGAGATAGTTTCTTAACTACAATATCATAGTTATGAAAGGATTGAATGGAGCACAAGGCGACAACACTGGGAATATAAAGCCTGCAGCAGTGCAGTGGCTTTCAGAGTTATTCCTTGCATTATCTACTACTCCTCTTGATCCTCTAGATGAGGCTTTTTGCACAATCTCACAGGTAGCCTTATTTGCCCTAGTGAGTATGATTGGAGCAATGCAATGTATGTTTTCTCAACTGTGTTTTTGCTCACTCTCACTTCCTCTCAGCATCAAAGAACAGATTTGTGACCACCACCCCAAATATCTGGTCACAGCAAAATTGTGGCCAACCTTCATGTATGTTGATTATAAGTACAACCCCGAGGATAATGAGAAGGGGTTATTCCAAAGCACCTTATTGCTCAGAGTAAGCCAGTCTCTGTGTTATCTATTCAAGAGATCTAAATGATTGATACCATAGGCCTACAAATTTGTCTTTACATCGCCCTCCTCTGCATTTTCTGTACAAATGCCCCAGATGCAAATCAGCCAAAAGTCAAACTTGTGGACATGTAGCATCACTGCATGCATTCTGTCACGTTTAGGTCCATAGCCTATATAGCAGTCCAAGTAAAGTGTACATTCATAACATCAAATCATACTCATGCTCTTTTGTAGCTTTGTTTTGCGTTGTCAAGTGTAGGATCATGGCGCGTGGAAGGCGGGGATTTTAACTACCAACAGTTCTATAACAATATACCCAACTTCTTCAAAATGCCCCCAGGCCCAACTAGTAAGGCCAAAATTTAAAACCTACTTTTATGGTGGAACAGGTATGATTGTTTTTTATTTTTTAAATAATGACATGTCTGATATTATATCCACAAGCTATCAAGAACACATCAGTTGCACGTTTAGCTGCTCAGTGTGCTGCTAAGGAAACCCACTCATCTCAAGCTAGTTGGATATTTTACTCTAGTGTAGTATTAGTTATGTGTGCTGTTATTCTTTATCGTATGAAAAATATATTATTCTTTCACTACTATGAAGTCGATGGATTGAATAATGCATGGGTTATATATTACCTAGCAGATGCAGATCTCATATGTTATGGTAGACATAGAATAACAGCTCGCCCATCGTTTGTAAAACTTAGTAAGAGCTCAATTAGAGGCTTGCAAAACTCAAGGCCTTGTATCCTTGTGAATCAATGACCACAATGTGAAATATTCAAAATTGTGACTCGGCTGCTCAGGGTGTTATAACGCCCTTACTATTATAGTGAAGCTGAACAACTCATGTGGTGTAGGCTAAAACTTGTGGAATATGGTAATGCTCACCGACATTTATGTGGCAGTGTAATGACTGGTTGGCTTCAGCCTATCTTCAAGTGATTTTGAATGCCTACAATGATTTTCTTGTACGTTCAGGTTTTCCCCAGTCTTGGCCTTATGATTATCATGCCAAAATGCTTTTTATGATCAAGTTTTCTTTGCATTAGCTATTGTAGTTTAACTTAATTCCACTGAAATACAATGTGTAACGACCAAGAGTCTGTTACTCTGGCGTACAACTAGAACCAACTATAGAGATAATGATAAGGGAGTGGTTACCCTTTAGGCTTCAACAAGTAAGTTGTGAGGATACAACAGGAGGACTCACTAAGGAGTCTCCTTGATCTATTGGGGTATATATACTACTACAGGTTTGTTTGTACATATGTACTATACAGTTTTGATGAAGGCAGTGGCTGATGATGTCAGAGGGTGCAGCCCATGTGACCAGCTCCGCTGCGTGAGAGACTTGTATCTAAAATAGAAAGAAAGGCAGTGCAGCACAAGAAAGTGGAGTTTGAACAAAAGGGAAAGTGATGCATAGCACGGAGTGTAAAAACTACAGTAAAAGGTTAAAGAGGACAATGAAAATTAAAGGTCCAAAAATGTGTTATTGTAACACAATGTGTCTTGAATTTGGCACATATTTTCTTCTGTTTCTGACTGCAAACAGAAGGTTGTTGATGGTACATAAAACTCTGGAAAGTGCTGTCCATATCCTAGAACAAGCCAGCCAACTATATAATTTAGATGACATTACATGGCTGTTGGATAGGTGCCAATTATGGCACTTGCGCTCAAATCAAACATTTTTGGGCAGCTATCCCAATCTGTCTTTCCTTTAGATTGCTTTGTATTGTTCTGTAATAAACATTGTTGTTCAGTTTTGGCATTATTTTTGGGTGGACTTTTCATGATTTTCAAGATGCAGACAATACAAACATTCACCGACAATGATTGCACAGGATTATTGCAGCAAACATCGGCTTAAGTATTTGCACACATGATTTGTCTCAATAGAACTTAGAAAATAATTGGCATTGCCAATATATTCTTTCCATCTTTTCTCACTACAAAATTGCATAATAATTATTACAACTTGTGAGATTAATCCACATTTGGGTGAGTCTACATACACTTATAATATTTCATAACAATGGCTGAGATTAGTCTCGACTAGGTAAATCACTTGATATAAAAAGAAGATTACCAGACTTGAAAATTACTTTGAGATAGCTAGATTAAAGAAAAATATGCGACCAGTGGTATTCAATACCCATATCACGTTATTCTTTCTCTCCAGTGCAAGACCGTACATTACCACAAATATGTACCCTCTCAATATGATATTGATGCTGCCTTGAGACCTTTCCCATGCGAATCTACCCTTATAAAAGGTCTTATTTGTCTTTATGAACAAGCCCATAATAATTACAGTTATGATAGCTATTTTTTGTTTTACAAGCGCTTACAAAAGCCATGGGAAACAAATCTGATTTTGTTGACCTTAACTGTTTTCTTTTCCAGTAAGTGTGGATGGATCAATAATCAATTATACAGCTCATGTATGACAGATCTATCTAGCAATGTTACTCGTCCGTATTCCAGTCAAGAACATGGGGAAAGTTTTGCTGGTGAGTCAAACATCACTTTACTTTTTCCTTTGCTAACATTTACTTCTTTGTTCATTGTTTACTGGTTGTTGTGGGTTGTTTGGTTGTAACTTGGACATTTTTGTATTTATATGGGCTTTCTCCAATGATTGTGAACTATAGTAAACCTTGTGGTTGATGATATTATTGATGTGCGAGAAAAAGGTCGCACAGACAGATCATCCACAGCCCGTTAGCAAAAGAGCTTTTAGTTCACTGATTCAGGAATGTAAAGCACCAGATCACCTTTGGCCTGTAGGTAGTGATGTTGTTATTAGAATGAATCACTTGAAAGAATTCCTCAACAATTATTCACATTTCACTGTAGCAAATTTGAGGGCTTTAGCGAGAGCCCATTCTGTGTGTGCTGGACATTTTGCTGTGAAGAAGACATTGGTATGGGATTTACACTGTCATGCATGTAGCAACATTTGTTGTGGCAGAAACATATTAGTCTTCTGTGAACTACTGGTTGATCGTCAAAATAGTGAGACTGGTTTTCCTCTCAATGACAATGACACTGTTGATGCACAGCAGCAACAGAAACACATGCAACAGAGCGTTGTGAGGCAGTCGAGGCGTGTCAGAGCACATTGTTTGCCAGTGTTCCCACATATGTGTAGCTGGAATGAGCAGCTTAAGATTATTTGTGAATAACAAAATAAGATGTTTATTTCTCACCAACAAAGAAAACTGTGCACTGTCTGTGCATAATGTTACATGGTGGGAGGACTATCTTTGATTCATGCGCAAGATGTTGACATTGCTCTCTTGTGCAATCTGTTTCTTCCACAATGGGTCCTACCCACTTTGTAAGATGTTGATGTTTATGGTGGAGGCATTCTGTATATCAAAGGGTTACATAATCCATGGGCGTTGGACAGCTGTTGTGGATAAACAAGGTCAGCCACTTGATTCCCTTGCAAATATTCAATATTATGGGCAGGAGGCGCTTCCTTGTTATTTGAGACATGCATTCAATTCCGCTTCAATGTTTGAACAAGCTATTATTACCTGTGCACATTGCACACATATTTTGTACCTTATATCTGAAAAACAAAGCAGGGGCAGTGTCGCCGCTTTTTCTCCAAAATACCTTTGAGGCAATGTAACAAATTTACCCCTAGATTCTGTGAGCCTCTGAGACATTTTACCACCTTCATGTGAAGAAATATTGTGGTCCATGTATGCTTTGTTTGTCAGCTTGGATTCTCAAGTGATGCACAAGAATATTGGGAGACTCTCTCCTGTTCTTGTGGGTAAACAAGCTGTACATAACATGGTTAATTTCTTGATAGAAGAGAATCCTTGGTACTGCGCTGCTAGTGTGCAGTTGAGTGAAAACAATGTATAGGATTTATATTCTGGAATGTCACAGACCGGTATGCCTGTTGCTGTTAACATTAATGTGCTTCCTCGTGTTCCTGGAGGGGATGGCAGCAGTACAACAGCCAATTATATAGATTGTATGGACATCAACTCACCAGAGAAGAACTCTTCTGACAGTTTTATGGATGCAGTGGGTTATACATTAGGAGATCACTCACCTGAATCATATTGACTTATAAAAGCCAACGCACTTGCGTATTGCCTTGATGGCAAGTATTTCCTCCAGATGCATAGTGGATCCAAATTTTTGAATGACCACAATCCTGGCATGCTCACTTTAGTGTTTTTGCACCTGGATCCTTGGGGTATAAGAGGCTTTTTTGAACCTAACAGGACAAAGGATCAATACATTTCATTTAACAGGCAGCTTCAATATCTGCTTCTCCAACATGACTTGCCTTTTCCGGCAGATCCGAATTCTGCCTATGTTTGTTTCAACATTATCCAGAAGTGTGATGTCGCACAACAGGCAATGTTCTGTCTCAGTTCTGAGCATCATAAAAAAAATTGGTAGAGATGTTGCTGAGTACAGTTCCACCTTGACCAACTTGATTAGAAAATGGGTAATCCCAACACATCGCCGTCAAACAAGTACCAGAAAAAAGTGTTAAAACTGCTTACACAATTAAAGTTGACGTTGAAAGAGGTGAAAGGCAGCATAGGGTATAAACTTTGTTGTCAGAGTGAAGTATGTGCATTAATGAAGAAGTACAGAACACCAGCACTATTCAATACAATTAACCCTAACAATATCAGCTATCTTTTGCTTGGCTTTTTTGGAAACATAGTGCCCAATGATTGGAAAGCCATGACTTTGTATGAAAGGTCAGCTTTTGTCGCCACTAATCCTGGATCTGCGGCTAGATTTTTTGATTCAATGCTGCACAATTTTATCAACATAATCCTTAAACATGGAAAGTCAGAGGCTGGATTGTTTGGTGATAGTGAAGCATACTATGGTATGGTAGAGGCTCAATGTTGTGGCACCCTTCATTGTCACATGCTGATCTAGTTAAAAGGCAATCCCAACACACAAGAATTACATGATAAAATGCAAAAAGATGAGACCTACAAGCAACAAATTATTGCATGGTTAGAGTTTATTGTCTCTTGCAAACTGCCTGGGATGGAAAAGATCTTACATGAACTGAATGGAACAACTTTGTCTAAACCACTGCGTCCAACAGATACTGTAGACCTGCGCCTTGAAGAAGGGGATATTTTAGAAGATGATATCTAGAACGAGCTAGATTTTCAACGGGATTTCCAGGAAGTGTTATAATTGACATACTAGTACCTACTTACACTTACTTTTTTGTACTTTTACTTTTATTTTTCCAAGTCACATGACTTAGAGCAAATTGGATCCTGGAAGCTGGAGTTAGTGTTGGTTGGCCAACAAAATTCACGCTGTCCCCCATCAAGGCAATTATCT